CTACTCATAGCAACCCTGTTTAGAGTTTCTTATGTGGGAGCATAAAGTCTCTTCTTTCTCTCATGGAATGGCTGATAGTTTGGAACTACTGATCTTGAAGTTAGCAGTCCTACTCTTAACCACTATGCTATGAGAGCTCCTTGGGATATAGCATACATTTATATAGCTAATAAATTCTAACCAAATTGTCAGTCACAGAAATTCACTAGAAAATAAAAAAGAGGTGTGGAAATATCTCTCAGAAGGATGTTTTACATAAGAGATTCAGAAACAAATACCATCATGTTACATTAGCAGGATAACACTGTTGGGAAATATTATCAAATAGAATCCTTAGAGTAGCATAAACCATTGCTTTCCAAATTAAGTAGAATTGAGAAAGTTCTGCATTTTTTCCAAGAAGAAAAAAAGTATTTCATGTTTTACAAATAATGACAGTGGGGCCAGGTAGAAATGTTATGAGTTCAGGCTGTTACTGGAATTTTACACACAAACACGTACTCACCCATACACACATTATCATAGAAAATGAACTATTTCCAAGGACTTTAATTCCTTTTATACTTGCAGGAATAAGCATACTTACATGGATAAACATACAATAAAGGAAAATATATTTTTCAAAAGACATATGACCTCAAAACAAAACAAAAATACAATATTCAGGAAAAAACTGGACTATAAACATCATATTACAGAGTAAATATGAATTTGTTACACTTAAAGAAACAAAAATATAGTGTTTTAAAAACATACAGGTTATTTAGTTCTATTAAGTCGGCTTGAATTCATAGTCACCCTGTATAGGGTTTCTGAGGAGTAGCTAGTGGTTTTGAACCACTGACATACTAGTTTAATTGAAAAATTGACTTTAAAATTTAAAAATTAGATTATTTTACAAAGTGAGTGGATATACCAGAGTAACCACATCAGAAGAAATAATCAGCAAACTTAACTTTAGGTATTAATAAATTATCGATAACACAGACGAGACAGGTAAAATACAAAAGAGTGAAGAGATATTGTAAATAATGTAAAAATGAGAAAAACTGGGGTGAAAAGTGCTATTATATTCCTGGAAGAGAAATTTAAAGGGATAATAAGCACAGATTTTCCAGACTTGATTAAAAAATATTTATAAAAAGTCCACAAAAATTAGATGCTGTTAAAAAAGAGCTCCAAACATACATTTAATTTTCTAGCTATACAACATTTGAATTGGGGAGGGGAGGGAAGAAGACTCAATCTCTAGGAGAGAAAGAAAGAGTAAAGGCAGAGTTAGATGATGATCTTCACCTCAAGATATTTGTCCAAGTAACAGGTATATATAAAAGGTATACTGTATCTAGATCAAAAGATGGAAGTGGAGTTAAATTGTCTTAAGAGTCTTTATTTTTGTGATTATGGCAAAAGTATCCATTCGTTGTGTAATGTAATAGATCAAGGAGGAGCACTTGGAAACTTGAGCTGTGTTTATCTATCAGCTAATGTGAACTTTTTCCACATTTACTGATCTGCTTTATATTCTCACCAGCAATGAATGTACAAGGGTTCCAATTATATACATTTTTTTCCAATTCTTTGATAATAGTGATTCTAAGCAAATCTGCTGCACAAGACCTTTTTACATTTGAAGAGCAAAGATGTCAGCTTGAGGACTAAGGTGCGCCTGACCCAAGCCATGGTATTTTCAATAACCTCATATACATGCGAAAGCTATTTTGAATCTGACAACCACATGATTTACTATGCCGGGAATGAGAAATTGACGAGGAATGGTGTTGTATTCATTGTCAAAAAGAACATATCCAGATCAGTCATGAGGTACAACGCTATCTGTGATAGCATAATATCCATGCGCCTGCAGGGAAGCCTAGTTAATACCACTATTATTCAAATTTATGCATCAACCACTAAAGCCACTGAGGTAGAAATAGAAGAATTCTACCAATGACTTCAATCTGAAATTGATTAAACATGCAATCAAGATGTATTGATCATTACTAGTGATTGGAATGCAAAGGTTGGGAGCAAAGAAGAAGGATCAGTAGTTGGAAAATATGGCCTTGGTGATAGAAAT